GCACCCTGGGTTTGATTCCCCAGCACTGAAAATAAAGTCTGCTATTACAATATTACCTTTCAAATCAAATTTACATATTTAATTCAAACATAAGCTGGTTAATTCTGGGACAATGAAAAAACACTGTTTCATGGCCAAAGCCTTTGCCTCTGGACCTGGAGAGCCATTTTCATTGCATTGATCCTGATTTCCAAGGGGGATTAGGGCAGAAAGACAGCTCAGGACAAACTGGACCCTGGTGATGGGAACCCGGATGACAAAGCATTTGACATAGGAGTTAGGCTGGTAACATCATTTTATGGAGGAACAGAGAACAAGGGAGAGGATAATGATTCCATAAAACCTCTCCTGGAATTCAACATCTACTGCATAAAGAGATGGATATGAGTGAGTCTTTCCACCTGCCTCCATACCTTACTGTCCAGCTTCTTCATTGTCACTAGGTCCAGAGACTTCAGAGAATGACCTGTGGGGGCGATGAAGTACAAGCAGGCGTGGATTCGGGAGTCGTGGTAGGTGTGCAGCACTCTCCGGATCTTCAGCTCCTCCTGCAGGTAGGCCTCAAACTGCGCATCAATGAATTCCACGATAGGCTTGTAGCTAGAGAGAGCAAGGAAATAGCTAGACCCCTTCAAAAACTTGGATTTGACACTGTTACGGTTTGGATGTGAGGTATCCCCTAAAAGCTCATGTGTGAGATAATGCAAGAAGGTTTGGAGGAGAAATGATTGGGTTATAGCCTTAACCTAATCAGTGAATTAATCCCTAATGGGATCAACTGAGTGGTAACTGGAAGCAGGTGGGGTGTGGCTGGAGGAAGAGGTTCATTGGGGGCATGACTATGGGGTATATATTTTGTATCTGGAGAGTGGAGTCTTTCTCTCCCTCTGCTTGCTGATGATCACGTGAGCCGCTTCCCTCCACTCACTCTTCTGCTATGATGTTCTGCCTCACCTAGAGCCCCAGGAATGGAGCCAGCCCTCTTGTATGGAGACTTCTGAAACCCTCTGTAAACTTTTCCTCCTCTACATTTGTTCTGGTCAGATCTTTTAGTCACAGCAGCAAAAAAGCTGACTAAAACAGACACTATCTCTTTTAGAAATGTAAAAGAACTCTGTAATCTGACTCTCCCTCATCTAGTTGGATTTCTCCATCTCTCTTCAGTGGGCTTCCAATCCTGTCAGCCTGGCCACCTTCTTGGTCCTTGCATAAGCTCAGTTTATGCCCACCTGTACACCTTCACTCTAGAAGGTTTGTTTCTCTCTCCTCATCCCAATCCTCCCATCCTACACCTCAGGGCTCAGTTTAATGCCTATCTCTGTCCTATAGACTTCCCCATTTATACTAGAAACCCCTTCTGTGACCCAATAGCTTTATAAAACCATGGTACTGCCAGGTGCGGTGGCGCACGTCTGTAATCCCAGCAGCTCAAGAGGCTGAGGCAGAAGGATCACCAGTTCAACACCAGCCTCAGCAACAATGAGGTGCTAAGCAACTCAGTGAGATGCTGTCTCTAAATAAAATACAAAATAGGGTTGGGATGTGGCTCAGTGGTCAAGTGCATCTGAGTTCAATCCCCATATGCAAAAAGAAAAAAAGAAAAAACAATGGTACTGGATTGCTTGCCATTACTTCACAAGGATTTCTGTTCTTTCAACTCATCTGTGTCCTCATGAAGGGCAGGGTCTGTGCAGGACACTTCCTCTCTCTTCCGTGGTCCTGAGGCAATGGGAACCCATTGGTGGATTCCATGAGTGGGTTGCTTTTCCTCCATGCTGGGCCCATGTCTGCTTCCTGCGTCTCCCCTCTCTGTGTCTATTGTGAGAGCTGAATCCACAAGGCTTCTCCTCCATCCCCTGCTGGGAAATTCTGTCAGAACATTGTGGGATTTTTGCTCATTTTTGCTAGGTTAAATGGAATATCCCACTCAGCTCCCAGATCCAGTTTTCAATTCCTCCAAAGTTGAGATTTTTAAATTTAAGTATTCAGGGCTGGGGGTGAAGCTCAGTGTAGAGCACTTGCCTAGCATGTGCCAGGCCCTGGGTTCAATACCACACACATGAATCTAAGTATTCAGACAAAATTTAGTAAAGAGACACCCCCCCATATGCACACACCGTCTATGCATGGCCCAGCTCATTGATTCTCCATGCACAGCACCTCTAGGTGACCACTATGTCTCATCAAGATCCCCCTCCTCTACTCAGGATTGAACCCAGGGCATTGTGCATGCTAGGCAAGTGCTCTACTACTGAGCTGCATCCCCAGTTCCTTTTTAAATTTTGAGACAGGGTCTCGTTAAAATTTTCAGGCTGGCCTCGAACTTGCAATCCTCAGCTTCCAGAGTAGCTGGGATTACAGGCTCATCATGGGTTCTTAAACAATAGTTAGCCCTCCATTGGTACCCGCCCCGAGCTTCCTTGGAAGCTTCCCTCTCTCCCTGCCCCAAGCCCTGCCCTGGCCATCCCTGCCATCCCAATAGCCTCTTTCTGCTCTATTTAGGTCAGCATAGTTTCAGCCATGCCCATCTTCTCAACTCCCCTGTTTGGACACTGCCTCTTTCTCTGAGGGGCTGCTTCCCTTCAGGGAAGAAGAGGTACATTCCCTGGGCCCAGGGCAGGAAGTTTGCAGATACCATTGCCAGAAGGGAACATGATCAGAGGAGGAGCTGGGTCCAACCAATGCCTCCCACCTGCAGCAGCCTCTAACCTAAGCCTTTTTGAAAGAGCCCCCTAGTAGAGAAGGGGAAAACAGTGTTTAAAAAAGAATCACAGAATCCTAGGTTCTGAGAGCTACAAATAGAGAAGAGATACAGGTGCAGGGTATCTCTGAAGCTGTAAAGAAAAAAATCTAAAAATATAGTCTTTGCTTTCTTCCTTTGATCCCTCTGAGCCAACACAATTCTGAAGGGTAATAGCATCAAAGGATCTCTTGGCAGCAGAGATCTTTAGAAGATTCCAGGAGAATTTCAAGTGAGGGTGAAGGATGCATTCCCTAGGCTTATCTCATTTTTAGATGATTGGCTGGTCTGAATTATCTGATCATGGCACTGCTTCATCTTTTTCTCGATTATATAACCTTTTTTTAATTCTTTCTTTTTTTTACAGCATCTTTTCCTTCACAAAAGGAAACAGAGGAAAGAAAAAGAGTAGGATTTTTTTTTTAGCTTTTCCCCCCATGAATCTCTAGTGATATCCTGTGCCCATCTTACAACCATTGCTTCTGGCTCTCAGATTATGGAAAGGTACATGGATCAGACCAGCCCAACCAACCAATCAATCACCAGGATTTGGTTTAAAAGAATCTGACATGGGTGATTCAACTTTGTCTTAATTATCTTTGCATCCTCAATGTCTAGCCTGCTATCTGGAATATAGTAAGAATTCCACCAACTGCTCTGCACTCCCTCAAACCCACCCCCAGTGGCTCATCTTCCCAAGGTGGTCATCTCTGCCCCATGCTTCCCTGTGCTCACTGCCATGATTAACAAAATCCTTATTCCCATAGGCAAACTCCTCATCAACTACTTCCTTCCTCTAAGTGGTAGCTGACAGTCTTTCAAAGATGACACTTTTCTCATATCCTTCTCAAATGGACATTTCTACATATCCCACACTCAAGTTTCATGGATGAACAGAGAGAGCATCTTTCTTCTAGCTCTTTATTTCCTGATCTATGATCTCTTCCACCTCCAACAAAACTCAGCTCCAACAGACTCTGCCTCTCCCCATCACTACTCTCCATATTTTCCCTTATAAAACATGAGTTCTAATAGGTGTGGTGGCTCACGCTTGTGATCCCAGAGGCTGGGGAGGCTGAGGCAGGAGGATAATGAGTTCAAAACCAGCCTCATCAAAAAGTGAGACTCTAAGCAACTCAGTGAGAGATCCTGTCTCTAAATAAAATACAAAATAGGGCTGAGGATGTGGCTCAGTGGTTCAGTGCTCCTTCGTTCAATCCCTGGTACCAAAAAAAAAAAAAAAATGAGTTCTTAACCTGGGGTCCCCCAGCCTCCAAGGGTCTATGGCTAGAATTCAGAGGATCCATGAACTTGGATAGGAAGAAAAACACATTTTATGGGCTGGGGTTGTGGCTCAGCAGTAGAGCACTCACCTAGCATGTGCAGGGCCCTCAGTTCAATCCTCAGCACCACATATAAATAGATAAAATAAAGGTATTGTGTCTAACTACAACTAAATAAATAAATAAATATAAAAAAGAAAATACATCTTATCACTAATGTCTAACTAAATGTAGGTAACAATCTGCAGTAATATTTTGCAGTATCTGTGATTTCATAATCAATAGAAATCACTGTTTATAATTCCTATTCCAGTGGTTGCAAGTACCTTAAGATAGCATTTATATTCATCACAACTCCTCAATTCTGATAACCAATAAGGCTGTATATAGATATTATTTCATAAATTAATTAAGAAACACATGGATTACTAAATCATCATTTCAATATAGTTTGGTAACTGTTTGTTCAGTACAACTGATATACTTTAAGAATTTAAAATTGTTAGTTTGAGAATGAGCCCAAAGGCCATACCAGAGTACTAAAAGGACCAAGGGTACAAAAAAAGCCTCTGATCTAGACAATACTTCTTATTCATTTCAGATAGTGAAATGCTCTACGAACATACTAAAATCTGTTATTGAAATAAAAAACAACTGGAGGTTTGGCTATTTTAAATACAGTGACCAGGGCTGGGGTTGTGTCTCAGCAGTAGAGTGAGTACACTGTGAGGCACTGGGTTTGATCCTCAGCACTGCATAAAAAAAATAAGTATAATAAAATAAAGGTGGGGCTGGGGTTGTGGCTCAGTGGTAGCGTGCTCACCTAGCACATGTGAGGCACTGGGTTTTATCCTCAGCACCACATAAAAATAAAGACAATAAAGTCCATTAACAACTAAAAAAAAATATTTAAAAAATAATAAATAAAATAAAGGTATTGTGTCCATCTACAACCAAAAATATTTATAAATAAATAAATACAGTGACCAAGGAAGACTCCTCTGAGGATGTGATACTTGAGCTATAAAGATGACATCTGTTATTCCCTCTACTTGGAATGCTCTTCTTCTGGATCTCTCCATGGCTCTCTCATATAACTATTCACATAACAGGTCATCATCAGCCATACAAAAAAATCTAATAATGCTATCACATGGATGAACCTTAGAGACATTATGCTAAATGAAATAACCAGACACAAGGACAAATACTGTAAGACTCCACTTGTATGAGGCACCTAGACTAGTCAATTTCATAAAGACAGGAAATCGAATAGTAGTTAGCAGGGGCTGAGGCAGATGGGGATGGGGAATTACTGATTAATGAGTTTCCTTTCAGGGTGCGGAAAAGGTTTTAGAACTAGATAGAGCTGGTGGCTGCACAATACATAGTGATGATGGTTGTCAATGCATTAAATGGCAATGGATTGTTCACTTGAATCGTTAATTTTGTTATGTGAAATTCACCTGACAACAGCAGAATAGTAGGAGATAAAGCCAAGAAAGGTGGCAGGAGCCACATTATGTATGGTCTTGTGGGTAGGGTATAGTAAGGAATTTTTTTCTCTGTGAATTGGG